AAGATATCTATGGTCATCTGCCGTAACATCAATCGCTCTTCGAAAGGCACTTGTTTCTTTTACGAAAGACTCAAGTTTCAAATTCAATGACCCCGACGGAATTAAACTCGCAACCTTCTGATCTGGAGTCAGACGCGCTACCATTGCGCCACGGAGTCATCAAATGCTATTTTATTACTTTATTCGCATGACCTATTTAGAAGGCAGTGATAAAGCTTATAATAATACATTACATAAAATGTGATTAACAATATTAATAGTTTTTATATCTATCTTACTTTACTTTACAAAATAACAAAATGTTGTAGGATCTCGGACTACTTATTTAGAATATCAAATATTTGAATTATGAAGTAATTAACTATCATATATAAGTATCAAGTTTTGGGGGAGTTAACAACTTCGGATGTAACCTAGTTTCAATGCATTCATTTCGTTTCTTAAACGGAAACGAAAAGAAATTTTGAGAAAACGTTTAGCAAATCGGGGTCATTCGATGACAATGCAAAGGGGAGACCCACAGGCAATTTTTCAAAAATTCAAAAAGTGCTCCAAAAAGAAAACCATCTCTCAAAAACCATCTCTCTGAACGGCAAAACGATCACATTCAACTCACGGAAACATGTTTTGAAAAATTTGGGTGAAAGGCAGAGGGAAACCACACACACACAACCCCAGGGTGAAGAAAGGGGGGAAAGTGCCCCAAAAAAGTTTTGAAATATTTGAGTCAAATGCAAAGGGGGATCACAGCAACCCTGAGGTCAACAAAGAGGGGACCATTGGAAATTTTTTGAAAAATGCAAAAAGTGTCCCAACCCACTCCAAACTTTCTGAAAATTGTCGAAAACGATTCCTCTCATCAAAACAATAACTTTCGACTGATAAAAACAGCTTTGAACAATTTGGGTGAAATGGAAAGGGTGACCATATATTATATACACTATAGATAGTGTATCTAATTATTCTGCAATTCAAAAATTGAAGCCGTGATTGGATACTAGGATATTCCCAAGAAATGAGAAACTCGTATTCTATGTCGTAAACAGGGAACTTAAACATTAAGTTAAACCTATTCCAAATACATTTTCAAACTATTCAAATAATGAAAGTTATTGTTGTTTTTTAAGCGTTTATAAGCGAGTGGGAAATTCCAACATGGCCGCCATCTATTCAAATGGGGGTAACCGCTGTAATATTCTTGGCTTCAATTTTACTAAAAGAGATGCGCTATCTAGTGTATATCTATGATTGGAACTGACCTTTTCAAGTACTTCATCTGCAAATCCAATTGAACTATTTTACAATATCCAAAAATGAGAATATGTTGGACTTGATTGGCTTGTACACATCGGTATTTTGTCTTGATACGCGGAAAAGTACTGGCACTAGTTGTCAAACAGAAATCCATTTTATGATTAAAACAACTGAATATCTCCTGTAATATACTTTATTTCTATTCCATATTTTTGTCAGAGCTATAGTTATCATAAGCAAACATAATTACAAAATTCCAACTAGTTTCATAAAGAATAACGAAAGATATAATTGACTGAATACATCAAAATGGATTTCTATTCGGACAACCCTTTCTGAGCGCTGATTGGCTAAAATACGAACACGAGATCACCTGGATAGATGAATAATATTGATGTTGCCTATAAGGATGAGTAAGATTAACAGATTAGCTGCAATGCTCCCAACTTTATAATATATTGTATTATATGACTGATGGCAGGTGATTTTACTCATTATATTAAAGGGAGAATATTGCACAGTCATTCGTGACAGTATACGTTACTTGCTGTGCTGAGTGGTTATATTGCTACTGGAAAAAAAACAAGCAGATTCTTGACATTTCGAGCGAAGGCCCTTTGTCAAGAGTTAGTAGCCATGCAGGCTACCTCTGTCCCTATATGTAACATAAGGTTTTCACACCTATATCAGTGTAAGAGAAGGTTTCCACCCCTGCCCATACACGTAACATAAGATGTCCACTCCTATATTAGTGTAACATAAGGTTTTCACCCCTGCCCCTATGTGTAACATAAGGTGTGCACCCCTATATCAGTATATACCCGACAACAAACTGACAAATACCGACAACAATTAAGCTGACAAATACCGACAAGCTGACAAATACCAACAACAAGCTGACATATACCGACAACAAGCAAATACATACTTTCATTGTATTCTTATAGTTATTTGTATAGTTATTGAGTTATTAAAAGTGTGAAAAAATTGTTTACTTCCAGTCAATAACTATGTCTATGACCTATATTTAAGACTTTATTAAGATTTCATCTTACAATTAGAACAGCCAAGAAAAGCCAGCGTATAGAGCATTGCACTAGCAAACCTATGGTCCAGAGGGCGTAGCCAGGGCGGGGGGTAGGCATGCATAATCTAGTTATTGATTAAATAAACTTAAGTAGATAAGCATTGCACAAAACAAAATTTTAAGTATAAAATTATTAACTATCCCTATCTATATCTATATAAATACCAAGTCCTATAAAGTGTATATATGTATATAAATATGTGTCTAAAATGTTTAATAGTATTTTCAATTTAGTACTACAGAAACTAGCTATACATTTAATTATATTGACATCAATTCATTTATATATTTTGGGTTTCCTCAAAACACCCATGCATAATTTCATACAAATAACTATAAGAATGCAATAAAAGTATGTATTTTCTTGTTGTCGTAAATTGTCTGCTTGTTGTCGGTAATTGTCGGTTGTTGTCAAGTCCGTAATGTAAACAAAGGATTTGTTTACATTTTGAACTGCTATATTTGTATAATAAGACATACTAACTGAATATCTAATACTTTTCTGGTTCGCAATTGTAAATGAATATAAACTAGAGTACGTTTCAATTAAAAAAAGTTCGAAAGATGCATAATTTGGGCAATATTTATATCTGTGGGTCCCCATTTGTTATGAGCAGAACTGATGCGCAGAACGGACTTGACATGGTCTTTAAACTAAAAATTATTACCGAAAAGTGAAAACCCTTTAAAAACTTACCATTAAGAGTAGACAGGCTGTTCTTTCATTCAAGCGTTGTCTCTTTATCCATGGTCGAATTTCCAGTACAGCGATGCAGCGAAATTTCCGGCCGTCTTTCACATAATTATTAACTAATAATGGACGCTATTAATTCATACTTCCTTTAAAAAAGCAAAAATCAGCGTCTATGATAAACCTTGGGTGTCGAACAAGTTAAAACAATTTATATCAAAGAGACAAACATCTCTCGTCAGGTATGGGAAGTATTCCCATTCTCTTAAATTTTGGCGTAATAAAGTCCAAGCTGAGATACGATCGTGTAAAGAGTCCTATTACAAAAATAAACTACATAATATGAAAGACCATGATGTATCTAAATGGTGGAAAGAAATTTTAAAAACTTGGCTATGGTTCTAGCAAAACGGAATGTTGTGAACAACTAATGGGTGAGGCAACCGGTACAATATATAGAGGAACTAGCTGAGAACATTAACAGTTTTTTTCGTTAATTTATCATCAGATTTCCAACCCCTTGAAGACGATCCGAACTATCAAGCCGAATACCCACCCGATATGCTCGTTGACCCGTATAAAGCGTATCGTGCCTTGAAGGAAGTTAAATGTCATAAATCAGTTGGTGCTGATGAAATTCCTAATAGGATACTTCGAGACTTTGCTTTCGAATTATCCCCAGTGGTGTCTGACATTTATAACAGTACTTTGAGACAAGGAAAAATCCCTGAATTACTAAAGTCATCAATTGTCTCCCCAATACCTAAGTGTATGCCGCTCAAGACAATTGAGGACGACCTTCGTCCAATATCTCTGACACCGCAGATAGCCAAAGTAATGGAAGGCTTTACTTTGGAACCCTTACTGGCCGACATTGGCGACCAGATTGACCCATATCAGTTCGCGATGAAAGGCCGTTCTACAACACAAGCATTAGTCTTTTTACAACATAATGTCCTGAAGACCCTTGACCGAGGTGGTTCCGCGGCTCGCGTACTTTTCGCTGACTTTAGTAAAGGTTTCGATTTAGTTGATCAAGGTGTCCTAGTTGCTGAATTAGAGAAATTGAATGTACGCCCCGCTGTGGTGGGATGGATTCAAGCCTTTCTGACGAGAAGGAAACAATGTGTTCGCATTCGCGATAAGATATCCTCGTTTAAGTGTCTTAATGGAGGTATACCTCAAGGTACCAAATTAGGCCCTATTCTATTTGCGGTCCTGGTAAATAGTCTACTTCGTGATTGGAATTTCAGAATCAAATTCGTGGACGACCTAACAACTATAGAATTTATCCCCAGATGTTCACTGAGTGTGACTCCCTTCCTGGTCAATGACATCTACGATTATGCCTCTACAAGGGGCATGCGATTAAACTCGAAGAAATGCAAAGAAATGATAATTAATTTTCTCCAGTACAGATTACCATTCCAAGATGCATTACAGGTTGGTGGGAATACAATTGAAAGAGTATCATCAAACAAGTTACTTGGTGTTTATTTGAATAACGATCTCTCATGGAATCTACACTGTGACTATATTACTAAGAAAGCTAACAAGGGACTCTATATGCTGCGTATACTACGGAGAGCAAGGATTGGGTATCAACAACTTGTAACAGTATACTGCAGCTTAGTCAGACCAATCCTCGAATATACGCTGCCCCTCTTTGGTCTGCTATTCCGGACTACTTAAAAGCTAAAGTTGAGAGAGTCCAAAAGCGAGCCTTAAAAATAATTGACCCTGGATCGTCATATGAAGAATCGCTGCAGAAAGCTGGTCTCCAAACGTTGATTAAAAGACGAGAAGAGATTTGTAAAAAGTTTGCTAAAGACAATAAATCATCTGGTCCGCTTAAAAAACTCTTCAATTACAACAGCGTTGGGATAAATCATGAATATAACTTACGACATTTAAGCGAATCTAAGTGTTCTAATTCCATAAATACTGATAGATTTTTAAATTTTATAACTTGTAAATATTGATATCTTCTAACATGTAAAATATGTAACTTGACAGATTTTTAAAGATATAGTTATTCTTGATAATTTATGTATTAACTTGTAATTCAGCATTTGCTGCAATAAGTTTTTGAATAAACCTATTATTATTATTTAATTAAATAACATCACAACATATTAAAGTCAATATAAACTGGTAAAACTGGACGTATTTTTCTCTTACTACAGAATCGTTTTCCCTGTCCATTGAGTTATAATTTCCAAAACTATCCAGCCGTTATAACGTAAAATAAGCGGGTACTTGTGAACAAAAATGCCCTTCGATGACACGAAGTATAAACCGGCGCTATTTTGTCTTCTCCAAACATTACAAATTTTCCCGCCAAAAACACTGTGGTGAAGGCGAAGAAATCCGCCTTAAGGCGTATTTCCAGTCCTCGCACGAAGCTCCTCGCAGCTCTCTGCGAGTGCATGCATGAGCACTTTCGTCCAATCACAATGCCAAATAGTTAATTTTAATTAGATGCAAGTACTCGCAACCAGCTGCGAGGAGCTTCATGCGAGGACTGGAAATCCGCCTTTAGACGAGAAACTGAAGCTGTCATCGGTAAACTTCTATTAAAATCATCCAGTGTAGTTTTAAAACATTTGATTGACTTCAACAAATGTGATTTACCGTTATATTTTGAATGCTACCCAATTATTAAATGCACGGTTATATATGAACAAAACGGTTTAGATAAAAAAGATTAAGTAGTATTATGCCAATTACAGGGTGTCCACCCTTTGGTGAAGATGAAATTCAAGAACTTTTCCGGGACTTTCAAGGCCCTTTTTCATAAATTGAAGGACCTAGAACTGGGAAAAATCTTTCAAAATGGCACGGATTCTAGACTTTAACCAGCAAGTAATTCAGTAATCTTAATTAAAATGACTAATGTTGGCACAGCTGGAGGTCAAGGAGATTAATTCCAGGATTTCATGGACTTCTACTCATTTTCAAGGACTTTCCAGTCCAGGAATTTTTTTTTCAAATTCAAGGACTTTCCAGGATTTTCAAGGCCTGTGGACACCCTGCAATCAGTAATTCTTAACACGCGTATTTGTTGTTGTCATTGGATTTAAAAGAGAGGGCCGCAAATGCTTTTCATTTTTCATTTCAAATATTTTTCCTGTTCGCATGAGACCGCACTCTAAACTTCCTGTGGTTGCCACAACTCCAAAATTGGTGTAAATCATTACAACTCTGTAGACACCGATTTAATGTAAATTGAACGCTATTTTCGTGTTAGTGCACACCAAAGTAATCGTGACATGTACACCCAATAATTGTTTTTGGTTTTTCAATACACTTTAATATGGGTGTAAAAATGCTGTTAGCATTCACATTATAATAATAAATCAGTGTTTACAAAGCTGCAATTATTCACATGCACCATAAAATATCATTGGAATACCGCACGTGAAGTGTCCAAGTTAAGTAGCCTCACACGAGCAGACCTTTATGGCCTGTTTATATTAGACCGATTTGTTGGGAAACTCAGCTGAGTGGGAGTGAATTGTTCTTGTGTTCATATGCATTTTTGTATCCTACTTAAGGCTCGTTTACAGCTGCGATTTCTAGTGCGATTTTCTTCTTCTGATGGATGTGAACCAGTAGATGAGTGACGAATGTTCCGGGTATGTGTGCCCTCATCTGAAGATTCATAGCTCATCCACTCGTTTACATCCATCCAGGGGTCGAAATTCCCGCTATTCCGCTATTCCGAATATACTAAAATGCCTGACGGAATAGTAAACTTTATGATCACAGTATTCCGTTTGTATAGTAGAAAAAATGTGGTACCAAATATTGACAAGCAAGGGTTTTCCTCTTGTATAATATATCACTTGATACCGGACTTTGAGTCACTGTTCCACTTCGTAGCAAAGTTCTTGTTCGCTTGCAGTACTTGCGTATTCTAATTTCTTTGCAGCAATATTATTGTCCATTTCAAGTCACTCTGTCACTTTTCAACGCGCTTTATTTTTTGTTATTCAATTATTCAGTTCACTTTAGGAGTCTCACGGATGATCAAGTTTCATGAAAATCAGAACACTAGCGCGGACCCTGCATGAACGGGC